AAATAGGAAATATTAAAGGCATCGACAAATTTCTAGAGTCATATGATTTGCCCAAATTCAATCAGGATGATATACACAGTTTAAACAGATCAATTTCTAGCAACAAAACAGAAGACACCATCAGAAGCCTACCAACCAAGAAAATCCCAGGACCAGATGGATATACAGCCGAGTTCTATAAGACCTTTAAAGAAGAACTAATACCAATATTCTTCAAACGATTTCAGGAAATAGAAAAAAAGGCAGCAATTCCAAACTCATTCTATGAGGCCAATATTACCCTGATTCCAAAACCAGGCAAAGATACATTAAAAAAAAAAAAACTTCAGACCAATATCTCTAATGAACATAAATGTAAACACCTCAATAAAATTCTGGCAAATCGAACACAAAAACATATCAAAAAGATGGTGCCACCAGGATCAAGTGGGGTTCATCCCAGGGATTCAAGGTTGGTTCAACATACGGAAATCAATAAATGTAATTCATTACATCAATAGACTTAAAGATAAGAATCATATAATCATCTCGATAGATGCAGAAAAAGTATTCAATAAAATATAGCACCCCTTTATGTTCAAAACACTAGAAAAACTAGGGATAACGGAGCTGAATCAAGAAAACACTGTAGGTATTATTTCTTGTTACTTTTTATTACCTTTTACATTTAAATGAAATAAATAAAATAAGGTATGTGTCTACCTATCTATATCTAAAAAATTTTTTTTTAAAAACTGCTGTTCCTGACTTCTTCCCCAAAAGGTCAGGTTCCCTTGGAACTCTACTATTTACTATTTTCATAACATTTATATTATCTGGTTAACTGTCCATTACTAATTGCTACTACTAAAATGCAAACTATGTCATATTCAAAGTCATATCCCCAGTATTTAGTCTGTTCTTACAACATAATCAGCAAAGTGTTAAATTGTAAAATTCTACAGGGAAAAAAGCCATGTGTATGTTTTTTTAATTAAATAATTTCATTTAAATGTAAAAGGTAATAAAAAGTAACAAGAAATAATACCTATAGTGTTTTCTTGATTCATTCTAAAACGTAAAAATAAGAATAAAAGCAGCAAAAGATAAACAGAAGTTTCATCTAATATATATAGGCTACAGAAATAGAAGATTGTGAATAATTTGATTGAATGACTTAAAAATGTACAAAATAAGTAGTAAATTTTGCCCACATAAGCCAAGAACAATAAACACCACTTTAGTAAGATAAAAGATAATTCTGCAAAGAAACTTTGCAATTCAAATCATGCTTTGTAGTGAAATGTGA